CCCCCCCTCGTCCTCCCCTTTTCCCACCTTCCCCCTTTTTTTTTTTTTCTCCCTTCCATCCCCCCCCCCCCCCCCCCCCCCCCCCCTCTTCCTGGGACTGAAATTCTCTCTCTGGTAAATCACTCTGTCATGGAGGCGATCTGCAGAAGTTCTGGCAGCACATGTTATTGTGTTGCACTGTGGCCTTCTGTGACATTCAGGGGTTCGTCAGGGCTGACTCACTCGTCTGTCTTTCAACCAAGATTGTTTGTATTCTAGGCAGAGATGATTTATTTTGGGGGGCAGGCAAATTTTAGAATAAAGACAATGCATTTCTGTGGATTTAGCTTCCAACGCTCTTACACAATGAGGGCGGACATCAGTGTAAAACTGCTTTTTCTACTGAGCTTTGCAGTAATTAAATATTCTGGAAACAGTGCGTATGGAGCTTCATCTTTATGTATTTGTTGACCTACTTCCTGGTAGTGTGGTACTAAGTGGTAGTTTTAATATACTCTTTCTAAGAAACTTAAGTCCTGACTCCTCCTTGTGCTTTTATTTAATTATAGTTTTTCTTAAAAACTGACAACACCATTATAAATAGTGTTAGCCAGTAACGTTAATGTGTGTTTTTTCTTCTCACCCATTTTACCCAATCATCACCCAATCTCTTTTTTTATGGTCAGGCAAGTGCAAACAGATGATACATCAGTCACTGGCCACCTCACACAGCTGACATCATTTCCCAAACCTCAGACTGATGACTAGCTGCTAGAAAAGACATCTAAGATTAAATACTGCACCTTTGATTTATTTGAATGTCCTGAGATTAAACTGAAAAATCTGATCTCAATTTGAATATGAACCCCCTTATCTTTTATGTTTTTTGTTAATTGTTTGTTGTTGTTCACGGTCCTCACAGGGGAGGTCCTACGTGTTCGATCGAGTGTTTCCCACCAACACCACCCAGGAGCAGGTGTACAACACCTGCGCCAAGCAGATTGTCAAAGGTATGGATGATGAGCCACGTCAAGATATGTCAGGTATTTGAAATATACGTGTTGTGGTCTCATCTGTTCTTTTTTTTCTCATAGATGTTCTGGGTGGATACAATGGCACTATTTTCGCATATGGACAAACCGCCTCCGGGAAGACTCACACCATGGAGGTACAGTATTCAGTATTGCAACAAAGCAAGTTAATGTCTGTGTTGATTTAAGTTGTTTTTTTCAACATTTATCAAACATTTCGGGGAGTTTTGGGTCTTCGTGAGAATTGTATTTATTTACATTGCACATTTGTTTCATAATTTACATTAAGACTATTTTGATAGAAACTGGTAGCAGGTCTCACAGAACCAGTCAGACTTTTACTGTCGTCAGCTTTGATTTAACCGTTTTTGTTTTGAGAATTTAAAGGCATTATTGCATGGAGTCTCCACTTGTTCTCCTTTGGCCCTGCATAGCTATCTCACTCTCACACCTTTATTGGTGACTTTGTGTTTCAGGGCAAACTGCACGACGCTCACCAGATGGGTATCATTCCTCGCATCGCTGAGGACATTTTCAGTCACATCTTTGCCATGGATGAAAACCTGGAATTCCACATCAAGGTAGTGTATTTGTGTTGTGGTATGCTTCTTGTTTTAATCCTTCTTTTCTTAGGTAATCTTTATATTTTTCAACAGTTCAATAAAAAACCTTTTTACACATAATTCTTTCATGATGATACATTTCAACCCGAGTTAAATTTGGTTTCCTATTTTTCTTTCTTCTCCAACAGGTTTCATACTTTGAGATCTATATGGACAAAATCCGTGACCTTCTGGATGGTTAGTGCTAATGAGCTCTTTATGGATCACCTGCAACAGCGAGAGTGTAGAATGTCCCGTCTTCCAGCGACTACTGAATTGCACTGAGCAATCATTTTCATCAAAAAAGCTTTTTGTCAAATGTGTTTTCAATATGGCGAACATTTTTAACATGATCAGAAGTCTTGTTGAAATACATATGAGCCATTAAAGTCCAGGGGTTTATAAATTAATTGAAATCAATTAAGGTGAATTGGTGCCAAATGCACATTTAAAGAGTTTACTTCCCAAACAAAAGATACAAAAGACGAGAGAAGAGTAAATAATGCTGACACATGTGCTGACTCAGCAGAGATAATAATAAATTAGAAAAGTTGATCTACAAGTGAATAAATATTTGAGAGCAATACAGAGAGCCTTACTGCATTATATTCAATTATATGTTCATATTTTGAATTGTCAGCTGGGGCCTGATTTAGTCTTTTCCTTAACATAAAGTAGGCTTTGTCATACCTCTAAAATACTTTAAAACACTCATTTTATATTTTCTCTCTTTATTCTTTTTTTAGTGACAAAGACCAACCTGTCTGTCCATGAGGATAAGAACAGGGTGCCATATGTCAAGGTTTGTGAAAGTGCTTTGTATTTGTGAGTGATAATCTGCCTGTGGGCTTCATCACATCCATGATGTTGAATCTGACTCATATTCTGTCTCTCTTATCGTTTCCTCTCCTCTCCTCTCCTCTCGTTTCCTCTCCTCTCGTTTCCTCTCCTCTCCTCTCCTCTCCTCTCGTTTCCTCTCCTCTCGTTTCCTCGCCTCTCCTCTCCTCTCCTCTCCTCTCCTCTCCTCTCGTTTCCTCTCCTCTCGTTTCCTCGCCTCTCCTCTCCTCTCGTCTCCTCTCCTCTCCTCTTGTTTCCTCTCCTCTCGTTTCCTCGCCTCTCCTCTCCTCTCCTCTCCTCTCCTCAGGGATGCACTGAGCGTTTTGTCTCCAGCCCTGATGAGGTGATGGATGTGATCGACGAGGGCAAAGCTGCTCGCCACGTTGCTGTGACCAGTGAGTCTTTATCTAAGAATATTGTTGTTGCAACATAGGATGTAAACATGAAAAAAACATCCCAAAAGACAAATGCTTACAGTGAAACATTTTTAGATGTCCAGAATAAAACAGGTTGTCTTGTTCCTCCACGTCCATATCAGAGCGCGAGATCTAGCTCCGCTTCAGGGCCAGCAGTAGCACTCACAACCCGTTACTGATGCGTGAAGGGACAGCTCAGCTCATGTAGCCTGTTATTGTGTCTTGTTATGTAATCTTCGTGTTACAGCCGGCTATAATTTTCTTCATTCATCCTGTCAGATGGCATTCGCTGTAATGACATGGGCAGCATTGGGCAGTTATTTTGGGTTTGGAGAGAGTAACAAAGCAGTACAAAAACTCTGCCTGGAGCTATTATAAATATAATAAAATCATTCCTAACAAACAGAATCAGCTCGTCTAATAAACTGGTTTCTGATAATGCTGTGTTCAGTAATCTGGCAACATTATGTTTATATCTTTAATGTATGTTAGTAAAAGCTCTCTCATCTGTAATTCCTGCACCTTGTTTTGGCCTCCGTGCACTGACTCACTCCTCTGCGGCTCAGCAATAATATCTGACTCATGGCTCTGATACGGCATTGTACAATATTTCATTACAGTGTAAAAACAAAAGCTAAAAATAACATGTGACCTAATTACCAGTAAACCCAGTAATGATACTCCATCAAATCTATAAACATGCTTCGGTAGTGAAGAAGTTGTCTTACAATGTCTGTATTACGAAGATTCATCTAATTTGGTTTGCTGCCAAAATGTTGTGCCAGTTATACTGAAAAAAACAAAAACAAAACAATATCCCGCTCACAAATTTCTTTCACATTTGTTTAAGCAAGAATAAGTTTAAATCACTACTGTTGAGGCAGATTTTGTATTGCAGTGGAGGTATTGCAAAAGGTAAAAATACAATAAAGCAACTCTTTGGAATACTATCCAAGCAACAAACCTTTATCAATTATTGGTGGTTGAACAAAAAATGGGTTAACCAAGTAAATGTCCCCCTATAAAACTTCTTATTCTTGTTAACTACAAACACCACATAAATCAACACAGTATATTGTGGAGCTAATTTAAATGTAGAGTAATCAAATACTATTTATCTGGTACATTTCAGTCATTGTGTCACGTCAGTAGGAACTTTTGTGCATTAGCATTCCTGCTTCTCAGGGCGAGTCCTTAATCACTTTAAACTGAATCACTGCACTCCGGCTTCCTGACAATGATGACCCGACAGTCTTTGCATGCGGGTAATATGAGATGAATCACAGGTCAGAGTGAACGCACATTCAAAATAAAGTAAAGTGGGCAACACTTTATAAAAAGGGTACAAATCATAAATAATTAACTAGTGCATGACTCATAATGATTTAATGCATTAATTAATGCAGGTCTTATCATAAATTCACGTTGCTCACCATTAATATATGATCAAGTCACTTTGACTTTATGTGATTAGTTCATACCTAAAGTTCAGATCAATTAATGAATGCTAATTCATAGTTACGTCACACATCAATTGATATGCAACCAAATTATTTGGACTACAGTTACATCAAAGTTAATTTCAGACCATTTGCTCAGCAGAACAGAAGGCCACATTTACAACCAAGGGTTGAAATGTCATTTTATTTATATTTTTTTATATATTTTTTGTTAGTGTTATCATGGTAGAGAATGCTGCACTAGAAATAAGTTTAAAGATTCATAACAGTCAACAGCTTAATCTGTTATTATTGTTTTCCTATGCTGTTCAAAACGTGTTTACAGTAATACCTCATCACTTCCAGTATAATAGCCCCATGTATGCAATCACCATGAGTTGAGAAGCACAGATATGCTTATTATTTATTTAGAAATCACATTATTCATTATAATAGATCTGTTAAAAAGAAAGCATGCACTTTGGGGCTGTCTGTTTCCAGGTAAAGACTTAATTAGAGAAGGTGAAGTCATCTCCAGAGCTTTTTGTGTCTTATGTAAGATGAAAAAACCCGGAAATGTTTATAATAACAGATATTTGTGTTCAGCCGAGTTTGAAAAAAACATTTTCTATACAGATAAAGGCACTTACTCAGCAACAGTTATCTATTACTGGCTCTGAGAATTCTGAATCGTGTTGCAGTTTAAAGATGAAAAGCTCAGATTGCTCGTGTATGTGTTATGAATCATCTATCCGTTGAGCAGATCTACCAGACAGACCAATAAAATAGTGTCTGACCCAACTCAGACTTTTAACACTGAGCTGCAGCTAAGTGCCTCGGTGCATGAGAAATTGCTATAAATATTCATGTCTGCCTGTATGTTACGACTTTAAATAAACAGCATCATTGTAATAGGGTTGTATAACAGGCATGCTTAGGCATAGGCTTTGGATTCTATGGATTTCAGTACGGAGGGCAAGACAAATCTCTTCATTGTGACAAATTAGATAGATCTTATACTTATATACTTTTTCATATAATGTTTACATAGAGTAAAATAATGTTTGCTCAGTAGAGCAGAATTAATACAAAACTTTGTAATGCTAAAAATGTAACAACAATCAAATCCTACAACAATCTAGCTTTGAAAATCAGCTGAATGTATGCAGCAGTGGCTCCGAGTTGCTTGAGGCTGCAATCCCAAGCAGCGCAGTCTTCTCTGTTTCCTGGTGGATGCCTGCTGACTCACGGTGCTGCAGAGTGCTGTGCTGATAGCAGATATTGTCTGCAGAGAAACCTGTCTGATGAAGAGGGGCTTTTAGATCAGGGCGGCCTGTCATCTGCACTCTGTGAAATGACAATACCATTCTGCTGCAGTAATGTCCTGTCCTGGTTGACAAAAAAGACACGGAAGACTTAAAATGAACAGATAAATTACTACAAATTAATCTGGTATTACTTTCACTGCCGTGATCCTAAGAACTGCTGGCTAGATTAGATTAGATTAGATTTCTCTAGGTTAGAGAGAGGAAGGTAAATAACAGATTGTATGAAGCCTCTTCTTGCCCTTTGTTCCAACCAACGGTTGTGTGTCTTCTGTCTTTGTGCAGACATGAACGAGCACAGTTCTCGCAGCCACAGCATCTTCCTGATCAACATCAAGCAGGAGCACGTGGAGACTGAGCAGAAACTGTGTGGAAAACTGTACCTGGTGGATCTGGCTGGCAGTGAGAAGGTATACGAGACACTCTGAGGGAAAGACTGATTGTAAATAAACAACTCCCAACCTGCAATTCAGCTGCTTCAAATTCATGTCTCCTGTGTGTGTTTTCTTCAGCTGTTCATCGCTCATGTTTGACCTGCTGGCTCTCTTTCTTTATTCCAGGTCAGTAAGACTGGAGCTGCAGGATCCGTCCTGGATGAGGCTAAAAACATCAACAAGTCTCTTTCTGCTCTGGGAAATGTCATCTCTGCGTTGGCTGAGGGCACGGTGAGCTATTTTAACCCCACTTACATGTATTTGGATACTCAGTGGACGAACAGTAAATACATCAGCAGAAATGCAGACCTGGATTAAAGTAAAATAGATCAACTAAATAGTGCTAAAGTGGCAAAAAGTGGTAGTACCTACTGTATGTTTTCGTCTTGGTTTGGTTGTGGAGAATACTGTATGTCCGTATTGAGCCAATATGTGAGATATTTAAGGAGCTGCCGTGAAGTAGTTTCTCCACGTTTAGGTGTAGTGAAACATATGTACCCTTTCCATTGTTGAATTTTGTGATTAAACTTAAATCTTAAATTCCATCCAAGCTAATGTACAGTTACTGTCCCTCATGTCGACTTCCAGGATCCGCACTGTTATTTCCATTCTGCCAGCTCATATGATTTGGCTGGCAAACGCCAACACTATCCCTGCCAATTAATAGATTAGTTAGATGCTGAACAATAAATCGGACAATTTTGACAGCAGTTTTTGGAGTTTGTTTGAATCCCAAATGGGAAAGTTCGCATTTTTGCTGAAAATATAAGCTGATGAATCACTGCAGAAGTGCAAAATCAGGAAGCAAATGAAACATACCTCCGGCATTGCTTTCGTTCTTTTGGTTCCAAATAGTCTCCTGATGTTGATCTTTTTTCCTCATTTATTTACTTCTCCCTTCTTTCTCTCTGCTTTTTCCCCTCCCCCTCCCTCTCTCCTTCTATCTCCTCCAGAAATCTCACGTGCCGTACCGTGACAGCAAAATGACCCGCATCCTGCAGGACTCCCTCGGAGGGAACTGTCGCACCACCATGTTCATCTGCTGCTCTCCCTCCAGCTACAACGACGCGGAGACCAAGTCGACTCTGATGTTTGGACAACGGTATGTACATTTGTGGAAACAGCCAGTGCAGCTTTGGAAAGAAATTGCAGTAAACAGCAGGAGCATGAGAATCAATCAGTCTTTTTACATGCTGCTATGTTTCAGCAAGAACACAAGCTGATTATATTTACCCCTCAAAAGGAAGGCAATGAACTGTTTTGGGCATAACCTAAAATCCATACAAGGCAGATACAATCACTAACTGACACTGCCTACTTGACTATATCTTTCAACGGGGAGGTATGAATTTCTTTTTGAGTCAAAAGGCTCAAGAAAGGTCTAAAAAAATAGAAATTCACATTAAATGACATTATAACTGTCATTTATTTAGTATTTTCCTCTCATACTAGTCAGATGACCTTTACACTATTTGACCAACATAAAGTTGAGTTTTGGCTGCATCATCCAGTAGAACTGTTAATCAAACACAAACACTGATCATCAGCCCTTTCCTAATGAACTGATTCACGTTTTTTCCTCCCCGTGTCTTTGTCTTCCTCTGTCACAGTGCCAAGACCATCAGGAACACCGCCTCCATCAACCTGGAGCTGACGGCGGAGCAGTGGAAGAAGAAGTTCGAGAAGGAGAAGGAGAAGAACAAAACTCTGAAGGATAGCATCCAGAAGCTGGAGATTGAGCTCAACCGCTGGAGAAACGGTGAGACACATCAAGTGTTTTCTGACTAACTGAATTCCAGCAGAAGCCTCGATTCAGCTGAGTAACTTCAGCTCTTCTGTGCTTAAATCATAAACAAAACGGCCTCATTCTGATGTGTTTCTTTCCTCTGTCCTCTTTGTCACTTGATCCCTACCCTCAGGAGAGGACGTACCTGAGACGGAGCAGACCACGCAAGAAGTGGTGACCCGTTTCGAGACAGTGGAGGAGCGTCCCGTTTTGGACAACGACACCTCCTCCATTGTTGTCCGCATTTCCGAGGAGGAGCGGCAGAAGTATGAGGAGGAGATCCGCAAGCTGTACAAGCAGCTGGATGACAAGGTCCAAACACAAAAACATGAACATACTAATTACAACAGACACTTTTTTGCCTGTACATTAAGTAATTCTACCTCTATAGCTCTTTGCAAATGCAGATGTTATTTTGTATAATGAAAGATGGACAGGAACATTTAGTGTCTTTCTCATGTAATTCTGGATTTATAAATGTAAAACAATCATGATAAGGTGGATGAAAGCCGATACACTTTTCGGTGTCACATGTATTTATACACACGTGCAGGGGGTGGAGTCTGGATGGTAGTGAGGTTGGTATTAATGATAATATAATGTCTACACAGGATGATGAGATCAACCTGCAGTGCCAGTTGGTGGAGAAACTGAAGCAGCAGATGATGGACCAGGATGAGGTCGGTCATCACAAACTCACACAAATAAACACATACTGTATGCGCACACAGACTATGTTTGAGAGGATACTGAGCTATTCTAAACGTAAACTTAATACCAAGCTCCAGCTTTCAAACTGCATAACTGAGGACTGGTCAAAATGTTGATAATTAAATGTCTTAACTGAAGGTCTTTATCTGTCTCCCTCTCTTTTCATTCCCTCCCTCCAGCTCCTGGCCTCATCCAAGGGCGATGGGGACAAGGTCCAGGCTGAACTTGGCCGGCTACAGGTGGAGAGCGACTGCGCCAAGGCTGAGGTGAAGGAGGTGCTGCAAGCTCTGGAGGAGCTGGCCATCAACTACGACCAGAAGAGCCAGGAGGTGGAGGAGAAAGGCCTCCAGAACCAACTGCTGGCCGACCAACTGTCCCAGAAAATGGTAGGTTTTAAGACAAATGGTGTGAATGTGAGATTTACAGAAAGAAAGCTAAAATCAGAGACAGGAGGTGGAACAGAAGGACACTCGCTTCCTTCCTTGCTGTTGGAAAAGGGCAGTGCTTCACTGATCCTTACTGCTTCCTCTCTTTTTCTCTCCAGGCCAGTCTGATGGAGCTGGAGGCAGAGCTGTCTCGTATGCAGGAAGTGAGCGGGCAGCAGAGGAAACGCATCGCTGACGTCCTCAATGGTCTGATGAGGGACCTCAGCGAGTTCAGCACCATTGTGGGCAATGGGGAGATCAAGCTGGTGAGTTGGATCCAAGAGTAAAAAGATGTTTAAATTAAAGGTCAAAATGTACATAAAGTGTAGGTACACTACACAACACGTAATAGTGTTTTTATTGAGTTTCCTGTTTGTCTTGACTGGAAGAGAAAATAATCATATTTTTTTTCTCCAATCGTCAGCCGGTGGAGATCAGCGGTGCGATCGAGGAGGAGTTCACAGTGGCTCGCCTCTACATCAGCAAGATCAAGTCGGAGGTGAAGAGCATGGTGAAGCGCTGCCGCCAGCTGGAGAACATGCAGCTGGAGTGCCACCGCAAGATGGAGGAGACCGGGAGGGAGCTCTCCTCCTGCCAGCTCCTCATCTCTCAGGTGAGGGATGGAAGACGTGGAATTGATGACAGGCTATGCGTGAATGAATCATTCCTTGTAGTTTGTTTCAGCTGTTTGTTTAACGACTTGTTTTTGCTGTCCGTACGTTTGTGTTTCGCACAGCATGAAGCTAAGATCCGCTCTCTCACGGAGTACATGCAGAGCGTGGAGCAGAAGAAGAGGCTGCTGGAGGAGAGCCACGACTCCCTGAGCGAGGAGCTGGCCAAGCTGCAAGACCAGGGTAACATGCCCACCACACGTGTACACATACACAAAATATACTGTTGACATAACACAGCTGCAAGATTAACATGCACGCTAAAGGAAATGTGGAATAGTTTAGCCATCCTCTTTTTAAAATTTCTCAGGGAATTGCCTGAAGATGTTATGAGGCTGTTGCTCTGTGCTGAATGCTTTCTTTCTCTTTGTCTTGTACCAGATAACTCCCTGCTTGAGGAGAAGGATGGAGAGAAGGGTGAGATTGAGGATGGAAATGTGAAGGTAAGAAGCGTTCGTGTGAAACCTGAGTATATAGATTAAAGTTCTGATATGGGCGTACTGCCACCCCAGAATAGAATACAAGCAAAGTACTTATTTTCAGATCTGACTCCTTTGTTCCATTTCTTGGTGCTACATGAGGAACTGACTCTATATGTTGCCTTTGTTGCACAGACGGCTCCTCAAACTCTCTTGCTCCAAAGAACAGATTATATGGCATTTTATATTCATTTTCTAGTTTCTCCTGCTGAAGCCCACATCTCTTTTCATTTCCAGCAGGTTCCTCGTCAGCAGGGGGAGTCCCACCGTGGCCTCCATCACCAGCAGCTGGCCCGCCTGCGGGATGAGATCAATGAGAAGCAGAGGATCATTGACGAGCTCACTGAGTACGTGATAATTGAATTAGTCCTTTCTATTTATAAATAATTCATTATTAAGTTACTGTTGATGTGATAATCGCTTATTATAAAAGGTTCTTATTATTGACAGTATTGCACACATCTTTTCATACATTATTCTTTGCTTGCACAAAAAGTTTGTCGAATAATCAGGTTTGCTGTACATTCAACTCTTGCCAATTCTTTCTCTTTTTCCTAACGAACACGTGTGCTTTTGCTCTACATCTCCAGCCGTAACTCCAAGCTGGAGATTGAGCTCGCTCAGGTTCGTGCTGACTTTGAGCGCCTGAAGAGCGAGGACACCACCAAGAGTGAGCGCCTGGAGGAGCTCTCGTAAGTGTTGTGGAGGTCCACTTTCTCACACTTGACTACTCAGTCTGGTTGAAACAAAGGTCTGAGTAGAGAGTACTTGATGGGAAATTATTTCAATAGAGATTATGAAAACATTCAAGTATAGAATTGATACAGTCCGCTCTCCCTTCAATTCAATTCCAGCAGAGGGCACTCAAAACAACACACAGATATTGCAGTACACAGAAATATTGTCTTATGTGTAATGATGGTTTTGCTGTTTCCGTCAGATTCCTGCATGAGCGCCATGAGCAGACTAAACAGGACTTGAGGGGTTTGGAGGAGACCGTCGTAAGTAAAATATACACCTCTGCCTCTTCTGAAACGTTGTCCCCTGCTGTGTCTCTGTCTCTCTCTTGTATTACCTCAGTCTGCTCTTCTTTCTCTTGTATAACCATTGTCTTACATCCAGTTGTCTTCCTAACCTCCTCTCCTCTCTGTCTGTCCTCCAGGCCCGCGAGCTCCAGACCCTCCACAACCTGCGCAAGCTGTTCGTTCAAGACCTCACGTCGCGAGTTAAAAAAGTAAGCAGCTCTAAGATGATGAGAGAAGGCAGCTTTTAAATCATGTTAAGGAAACTGTGTGACCTGAATACCCACTGATGAAAAAAACTTCACTATGTGTAGCAACATTCCTCTAATCCCCTTGACTTTTAGATTTTTAACAAAAGAGATTCACTTTTTGTGAAGACTAGTGGATTAAAGATCCAATTTAAAGGTCTTATGTAACCATGTAAAATCCTGGATGAAGAACTGGTCTCATTTTTGGCCTAAAAGGGGCTTGTTCAGCACATGCTACTGTGTATTTTAATATCTGATAAGGTGGAAGGTTTTGTTCCACCACAACTCTCAAGCAATTTTGAAATGTCTTCTCACGATAATTAGAGAGTTACTGGTATTTATGAAAGCTTCTGTCAGCCCTCATCTGGTGTTACAATCACCTTCTGCTTTAGTAAAATATAAAACCTCTTCCTCTACCTTGCTTTGTCTTTATTTTCTCATCTTTGTGCTTTGTCGTCCTCTCTTCAGAGTTCCGAAATGGAGCCTGATGATAGCGGGGGGTCTTGCACCCAGAAGCAGAAGATTTCCTTTCTTGAGAATAACCTGGACCAACTTACAAAGGTTCACAAACAGGTGAGAGAAATGCAGAAAGGATAAGAGGAACTGTAACTTTAGTGATGTAAACACAGTCTGCAGTTTGGATTGTATAAGACCAGGAGATGGTGTAATTGTGATATTTTCACTGCTAGAGATACAGCAATTTTGGGGGATAATTTGCCTGCTAGTTGCATAAAGTGCACAACAGGAGCCTGCTAGAGGGTGCATGACAGAAAGATAATTTATTGCTGTTTTGAACACTATTAAAGTAAACTAGTATGTTCAAAACCCACTAGTCGTTTGTGATGTAAGCAAATTGTGCTGAAAAACTAAATTATATTGCATCATATTACTGTAATTGCATGTATTTTTGTGTATTTATACTTCCTTGAGTATTTTTAAACAGGAATTTCAATTAGCATCTTAAACTGTAAGTCATACTTGGCAACATATTTTCACTCCTTACTTTGCCTCTTTTTTTCTTCTGATTATCTTTGATTAATATTCCAATTTTCCCACCCTGTGTCATTTCTCACCCCTCCCTCCCTCCCTCTCTCTCGCTCTCTCCCCTCCAGCTGGTACGTGACAATGCAGATCTGCGCTGTGAGCTTCCAAAGTTGGAGAAACGACTTCGGTCTACTGCTGAGAGAGTTAAGGCCCTGGAGAATGCATTGAGGGACGCCAAGGAGGGCGCAATGCTGGATCGCCGTCGCTACCAGCAGGAGGTCGACCGCATCAAGGATGCCATGAGGGCAAAGAGCGCCCTGAGGCGCCCCCACGCAGCACAGATCGGTACTGCAATCAAGCTTTCTCGTTTGATTTATGCTTTTGTTTTTGGACATAGTCTGAGTATTGGAATTTTCTTAAGTGAAACGTCTAACATGTATGACATTTGAACTGACTTTCTTTTATTTAACCTCTTTGGTCTGCAGTAACTCATTTTCCTCGTAGTTGTGCCTTACCTTGCATTACTTTATCATCCTGACAGCCAAGCCAGTGAGACCGAAGCAGCTGCCCGTCTGCTCTCCCACCAACCCGTTCTACACTTACATCCGTGCCACTGAACAAGCCAACACCTACAGCAACGCCCTCTTTCAAAGCAACGGGACACAGCCGAGCGCCGCCAGCGGCAACAGCAACCCCAACTCTGTCCAGAGCAACACGTGAGTTTAGATCCTTCCACTGCTTTCAAGCTACAGGCTTAAAGTGTCAGATGATGGCAGTCAGGAAGAGTCTGCACCGGTCTTCATAAAATAGAGCATCCTGTGGTGTTTGCAGACATACTGAGAGGTCATTCATCCAAACATGGTCATTTGATTAAAACATACAACTGGTAGGCTATTTCCTTTTATATTAAGTATTGCTTTAACATTGTGTTCCTTTTAACTCTTTTGTGATTTGTCAAATTACTGGAGACAAGTCTCCCTCACTTGTAATGCATCAAACTGCGCTCATATTTGACCGTGTTTTGTTTTGTTTTTTCCCTCTGTGGTGTTTTACAGAGTGTCCACAGCGCTGGGCTACAGAGCAGGCAGATACACTGGAGACATACTGGAGTCCTTCCCACTCAACATTGAAAACGGTAAGCACAAGAGCACATGTACACTGATTTCAAATCAGTTTTTATCACAAGATACTTGATCGTGAAGCATGCTGGATGTTTGATGTATTTAGCTCAGTGTCCTTTATATGCTCTTTTTTAATTTGATAGGATCAATTTATCAATTAATGATCACTTACTATTGATCAATGAAATCAAACTATTGTTTTCTTTCCAACAGGTAATAACGTCAGTGAAACGAGAGACATCAATGACAACAGGTGAGGACGTCAGTTAGCTGTTTATTGTTTCTGGTCACTTTAACTAACTTCAGACTAGATTGGAATAAATCAATTCTTGTCTTGTTGTTATCAGCTTACATGTTGTTATCTGTTTGCTAATGAGTGTTGTGTTTCTGCATCAACAGAAGTGATGTTCACTGTGGCAGCGAGGTGGATGATTCAAACAGGCATTACGTCATTCAGCAGGAGACCGCTGCAAGTTAATGCCATGGTAATTAACAGAGTACACCGAGTTACACACAGGCACACTTTAATGTCTTCTTTGTCCATGCAGTTGCTTACAGAAGCCTTGATGGGGGTTCCCTGTGTCAAGCAAGAGAAGACAAAGTCTCTGCAAATTTGCTTTCTTAACAAACTGCCATGAACTAGAAACCACTGGCTGCTTGGTAGTTAGACAAAGTTATTTCACACTTTGGAAAATGTGTGGCAATAAATGCAAAGCATATTTGATTTAAGTTGTGAAAACAAAGGAAACCATTGCGTAGGTCCTTTAATAAAAAACATTAGAAAATAAATTTATAATCATTCAACAGAACTTTTAACAGATTTCTGTATTCCTCCAAACGCTGACGTGCTTTTATTGTCTCTCTCCAGAAGATGACCAAACACTGTACCCGTCCAAGGACCCTCCCCTCCCATCTGCATGCAACCTGTCTCCCCATCCCTCCACTGCATCACTGATGAAGATGATGATGAAGATCTGTAGCCCCTATAGTCATCAAACTTAATGAAGCCCCTCCTACGGTGACCACCCTCCGGTTTGAGGTCCAGTCCCTTCCAGTTCAGTCAGTACAGGAAGTAAATTAAATCATAATTTGTTTTTCCTTTTTTGAATACAGAAATGCCTCTTAACCAACTCATCGATCAATCAATTTGTCACCAGATATCACTGATGCTGATTACCTGCTTATGTGGTTGAACTGAAACAGGGCTGACTCCATCCCTGATGACTTAGGACACACATGTTGTAAATAATAGTGCTGTATACTCCAGTAGAGGGTTTCTGACCAGCAACTGTTTGTTTGAATGCACACCGTCCCCTGCACACATCTTCTTCAGGGCATCATGCGGATGACATACTGTAGGCAGGCGTGACCTTTTTCTCTGTCGTAAATAAGAGCATATGTGTGTAACGCCAGCTTGTAACAGAAGATCCACACACTGCATGCATGTCGTGTAGCGGGTTGGCTTTCAAATATTTGCATGTTTCCTGATTCCAGTCAGGAGTTGGTATGCTGCGAGTGAACAGTCTGATCGACTTCGACAGATGTCATAGAGAGACAGAAAGAGAGAGAGAGAGAGCTGGTTTTCCCTAAACCTGATCATGGTCGCCGTGCTTTAGATTTTCTATTTGAAAGTAGAACTGGGCTGTTGTGTTAGTGTGTCTTAAATACTGGAAGAAACGACACAAGACACATCAGGGTCTAGTTTTAATTGAATAGAAGATGCAACATGTGTCAGGGAAACCCAGCCCAGACTTAACAGTCTATGTCAAGGAAACCTTTTGTTAATTGCTTTGATACTGTGATGTTGCAGCTGTGTGATGCCATTGTACAAGTCAGGTAATGCTGCCCACATCCATTTATTGTGGCTTTCTCCCTGCTTTGCGCCGACACCTTGTGAGTCTTCATACCGAGCCTTAATAAGAGCTGACTTCTCATGATGATCAAACTAACACGCTGTCATGTGCATACATTTGTAATTACTACCTCTAGAGCTACTCATTATATGCTTATTACAGTATACTAACATCCTTTCAAACGCTCAATAGGAACGGATCTGAAAGTTTCTAGAAAAAGCAGCAACTTTAGTACACCAATAGCTGTAAGTGGATTTAAAAAGCTGTTATTAGAGCAGTAGTTATGTTCTCCTGAAGTTCATTCAGACACAGAGTTCTCCTCCATCATGTAAAAGGATCAGGACATGGGCTGAAAAAGTGCCTGCAAAATGCTCTAGTGCAGCAGATGACCAGAAAGTTTGGGTTTATCACATCAGGACAGGTCATACTACGTTGATATTCAAATATTTTCCAAAAATGTCTGATGCTTGATGCATTTTCCTATTTGGTACCTAGTAAGGCTGAAATGATGATGATCCTTTGTCTACGAATCTAAAGTTACATTATTAATATACTGTGTGATCTAAATTTAAAAACAGAAGTGAAGTACCTTTTAGTCTGCATGGAATTTATTCAGTGATTAAGTGCTTTTTAATCAGAACCATCAGAAGTCCGATGATTAGGGAGTGTCTGCAAACCAGTCCCCCAGCTGAGCAGCCACCAGTCTGGGATGGACTGACAGAAGCTTGAAGTTTGTAGCTTGTTGTCGAGTCGTGCTGTTTTTCTTCTGTCACAAATCCTGACCAGCCAATCAGGATAGAAGAAACCAGCAAGTCTCAGGTGGGTGACGAAGATATGGATGTGTTTGGACAAAGCTTAGTCACTGAATTGAAGGACAGATTAGACCAAAAGTGTGTCGCAAAAAAATCTTCTATGTTGAAAAATGATAAAGTTCAGTGTACTTCATTGCATGACTGGACTTAGCCCAAGTAGGACCCAAGTATGTTCAGTGAAGGTTGTCTGATCCTTAGCAGCCTCATTCATGACAGGTCTTTGGCATTAACAACATCTCAGGGCTTCACATTCAGAATCACAGCCGCCATGGGTCATCACCACTGTCATCCTCATAGCGCTTAGCAGATGGAAGGGATCTACAGATCTTACTTCATTTTATACATAGTGTATAAAATCTCCATTCCAGCATGTGACATCCCAAAAAAAAAAATCCCTCTGGTCAGACCCTACTGTACGTGTCCAAGCAAACCCTCTATTTGACATCATGTTTTAAATGTAATAAATGAATCTAAAGGAGGGGGCACTGTGTAATATATTGTCACCTTCTGTTCCACTGTCTGATTTCAACATATCTAAAAATACATGTGCTATATATTGTTAATCTTGTAAGTAAAATAGCGTGCCATGACATGGTAAAATGCAGAAGAAAGGTACACGCTAACTTTGTTCAGAGAAATGTTTGTTTGATTTATTTCCGTATGCCTATACTGTAGCGTCAACATGATTATGTGAAGAATCACAGTTCTGTATATATAGGCCCATCACTATGCTGTATTGTATGTGAACCATTGTGTTGTAGTAAAAAGTTCAATAAACTTGTAGAAAGAAGTTTGTCCAAGGGAATCATTTCAGGATTGTTTGAATGTCATTGATGAAGTTTTAGAAAAAGAGATAGAAACATGCTGCCCTACTCTGCCCATGGCTCCACCTGGTGGACGGAGAAGAAAATAGTATTGATACCGATTTAATAGAATGAAGAGACACTTTATACTAAATTACTCCCATTCTTCTTTTAGCACATCTTCTTCCATGCCAAGAGACAGCATGCCTTCAACTCCCCTAATATTCTTCTTTTATAAAGTTGTTCAGCTTCATTTAGAGTGAAAGAGAAGGACGCTCTATCATTTCAGTTGTTGGTTTTCAAGCTGTATTGGTTACCCTATTAAATGCAACTCCCCTAAAAACTATGATCTCATTGCTATTAGTCACTGCTGGTGAGTTGGGTGCTCTCTGTTGTTAATACAACCTCTAACCTAAACCGGAAATTATTTTTTCAGACTTTGTTGTGAAAGGGACCTTTGTCAAAAATTGGGACATGAAAAGCAAGTCAGCTGTTGAAGCTGGAAAATCGAAATGAAACGGAGAAGAAAATATATCCAAAAGTCATCAGTGCACTACAGCTGTATCTCATATCTGCCCACCGAAGCCATCATGTAAGGAGATGATAGCATGGTATACTGGGGAAGAAACTCTTTAAGTCATGTAAGCACCAGTAGCTTCCCTTACTGCTTTACTTGATAATGGACACGTAATGTGTAAAGTGTACAGGGGAATTTATCAAATTGCAACAAACTTTAAACTGTATCTTAGTCAGGTGAAACTCCAAATGCATTTACTGTCATCACTTAAGAAGAGTGGGATTTGGAAACCAAAACCAATGGAACTTCCTTTGTGCCTCTTATAATAAGCTGCTCCTCATCGTTCCCACGAGAAAGGAAGCAGTGATGTAAACAGCAGCGGCATGTGAGGCATCATCTTAGTGTGTGTGTGTGTGTGTGCGTGTGTGCGTGTGTGTGTGTAATGTTGCATTACAGTAACACACGTTAAATTCCTAGGAGATGACCAGACTGGGCTGGATCAGAAAATGTAATCTGTTACAATGCTATGAAACTACAGGAACATGTAATGTGTCACACGATCAAATTCACCCACATTTTGATAAATTCAAGATCGAGCTGTTATCAGACAGTATTAAACGTTTCTGTTTCATGAGTAAATTAAAATATATTTAGCCTGCCTTTCCTTTAATAATTGAATTATCAGCTATTATTATCAACCTTCTTTTCTCCTTTATTTGCTTGTAATAATGTGATGAATGTATAATAAACTGTTTAATGTAACTAAGTGATTGATTGAAATGCGTTTCCTTCATCTCAAGAAGCTGCACATTGATTTCCGGTCCCCGCTGCGCGCTCCCACTGCCAGGGGGAGACTCTGCGGCACCAGGAAGACGCTGCACCGCCGACCCGAACAACAGGGCTTGGCAGGACCCCCTCCACACCCCCAGGTGGATATACGGACGCAGCCAGACGCAGCGTGAAGACTCCAGTAGCTGCTCGCGCTGCTTCAGCATGTTCCTGCCGGACTGACAACAGTCCCAATCCGGACACGAAGAGCGACACGCAAGGTAGAGAGCTCCTATAAGTGTGTAAGTAATGTTGCTACTAATAATTGATGGCCTATGAGTTGATACAACAGCACAACTGATCATTTATTAATATGATTTCATCTTAAAATGCTAAACCACAGACAGAGTGAAACCGAAGCTTCAATGAAATGTTTTGTGTTTAAAGTTGTCACATAGTGACTAATTGACTTGGTGTCAAGCTGACCCAGCACTGCTTGCCCTTTGGCGAGTAACTCAAAGTAAGATTTAATTGCAGAACGAAAACGATTTTAATTTACAAGTCACAGTTTGGTGGTTTAATGTCATGTGTTTCCGTCTTTGTAGTCAGGCACTTAAGTTGGTAAAGACCCAACGCTGTGCGTAAATGTGCACACATAACTGTAGAAAAGAGACATATCGTGTTTATTTTATCACAATGGTTAAACTGAAGCTGTAGAAGTCTCTATTATAAATGCATGTACTGCAGTATACGTTACTGCTGGAGATCCAGAATCTAGTCTGATTATGAATTCTGATTTTTTTTTTCTATCACAGCAGCTCATTTAGTTGAGCTGCTGGATAAAATCTGTCAATAATGGATTTTGAAAATGATTTTAATCAATATGCAGATCCAATCTGATAACATATTGACATGCTGCACAACTAAATCTTACACTTTATCATCAATAAGTCTGTGTGTCAAGGCTGTCTTAATGATGACTAAATTATGTTTTATTATCAAACACACATCAGCACCCTGAAGACTGTGTTTCACTTTAGTAGTGGATGAATTAATTCATGCAGATATCCTTTTAATCAGAAGCCAACAAGTAGGGGATACTCTTCCCAACTATTTGCTCTGCAGGCAGAGCAAATGAGACTGATGATGTGATGACACATGCAAGACAGTGTGCTCAAGTGTCACTCGTCTGCATCAAAATTAGCGTGATTGAAGGTCTGACTCCTCTTTAAAGGGTTGATATTTGATATTCATCATTGACTGGTGTTATTCTGCTTGGAGAGTCTTGTTACTGAATGAGGTGTTTGTGAAAAGGCCATTGATGTGTACTCTTACACCCATACCTCTGCAAGCTTTTATTTATTTTATTACACAATTGCATGATAAATTTTGGATCGTTATAGATCTTTTTTTCTTCTGGTGGGTATACAGAACATGACGGGTTTTTAAATTAACTCTTTTCTTGTCATATCAGTCTTCAATTATGCCAAAATACAATAGTTCAACATACCTTGAACATAAAGTAATTTTGGTTTGAGATAAAAGTGGATTTTCTTTGTACATAAATATAATCCATTTGAAATGAAAGAGGTAACTATAGTCTTATAACAATTTCTAAATTAGTAGGTGAAATAACGGACAGAAGATGTGGAGTAACACACATTTTGAATATTAATTATAATCAGCATAGATTTATTTTATTTTCTGTATTAGCTAAATTGAACTGAAGAATAGCTTGTTTCAGCTTCACAAATACGAATAATTGATTTTCATCTTTTAAAGAAATCATTGAAATTATAAATAATGCATAATATATTATATATACATAATATAAGATACATATATAATATGTTGGTAACCCTCCTTAAGCAATTTCAAAACATCACTTTGGGCTTTGGAAAGTTGTTGTGGCCATCTCTTATGATACTTGATTTTATAGGCGAAACAATAGGTTGACAAAGTAATTGATAGATAATCAGTAATGGTAAAACACCCTAAACTGCTCTCTCTCTCTCTGCTTTTTTCAAACTTAATGTTCCTCCTGTGTGACCTAAACTATTTGGCTCCCTCCTGAAACCAGCTGTTACTGTCGCTCCGTGTGGATGCGTCTTCTCTGCTGTGCGGGCAAGGTTATAAATAAGAGGCTCGAGGTTTTTGCATGTGTGTGTTGTTTAACCAGCTGCTGGGGAGGTTTGTTTGTCTCCCTCTCTCTGAGTGCAGGTGTACTCACTGGCCTTTAGATGCTCTTCTCGTGTTTTAAGGTAACCCCCCCCCCCCCCAGACAGCAGTCAGTGCCACCCTGCTTTTATCTCAAGGATTTGAGTCTATTTGTGTTTGGTCAGCATCACCTGTCTCCTGTGTTTTAGCTGTGAGGGACCTTTTGAAATGTACTGAAATGTAAATCTGGCCAATTAACCCTGAAATATTTTCCTGTTGTATGACAAAATGTTTGTCCTCCCTCTTATTTTAGCAACATATTTCAAAATGTGTACTTATTTAAAATAAGTATGTAGATTTATATATAGATGCACTTTGATTGGTTGTATATAGTACACATATGAGTTTAATCATAGGGTTGTAGTTTGCCGTACTTCCTGAGACGCCGAGGCTCAAAAATCATTACTATGAACTCCAGAAATCTCTAGTGATTTCAGAGTTTGGGAGGATTGCCTCCGTAGTTATTGCTTGAAAGTTGACTGAGAATACTTACAGCTGAGAAAACATTTAAGAACCTATATTTTGAGGTTTTTATGCTATTTCTGATCTTTGAACAGCTCCCCTAAGATAAATTATAGCCTTTAATTGTGTATGTGTATGTGTTCTCGTCTAGGCGGAGAGGAGCATGGGAAAGTGGCCTCGACATTGCGGGGCAGACCACCAACAGTGACGGTCATATATATACAGTATATATAAATATTGACAGCTTGATGATATCCACAATGTACAACATGACCTGGTCTCTTTCATGTACAGCAGTAATTCCCAAAGATTGGGTCGGGACCCATAGGTGGGTCGCAGAGATTTTGTTATGGGTTGCAAAATAAATAAATAAAAATATATATTTGATATATTATATATAGCTGAATATTTGTATAGTTCTGATAATTGTAGTCTACTTATTACATTGAATCTAATAAGAAAGGGTCGCGTACTTTTTTTTTTGTCGCATTATAATATTTAACGTGTATATTTTTAAAGACACATATATATGTATGTCTATATTTATGCACATCCAAACAATATAAAACTAAATATATACGTACATAATAACATTAACAGAAAAATTGGTTTAAAATGAAGTCCTCCGATACCTTTTATAAGGATCCTATAGATCTTAGCAAAGAGATGAACTTTACCAGAAAGTAAGAGTCTGATTTTCTCCAATCTGATAGACGTTAACACATCTCTAACCCAGTGTGTCTAAAATGTGAGTTAGAGATGATTTCCAATTTAAAAGAATTACATTTCCTTCAAGATGTTAAAGGCTATTGGGAGTGGCCATTGTCACAGCAATTTCACCATTGTTTGTTCATTCAAGTCAGTCTTGTGTGACAAGAGCGAGATATGTTTACAAATCTGATTTTATGTGTAATGTCTCAACAACTGTTGAAATTTGGCTTTTATGACCAAATACAAAAATACTGACGTTGCCATTATCCTCAGCTGTTCTTTAAATACAGCGCTAATAAGCAAATATTAGCA